GGGTATTTTATACTTCATTTAGTATAAATCATAAAATAATTTGTGACTCTTTTTCTATGAAACTTCAAACCTTGCTATTCTTCCACTGTAATGTTATTATTATTATTATTTTTTTAAACAAACCCATTCGGGCCTGGCCAGGTCACAGGCAACCCTGCTGGACCCGAGGTGGGGAACGGACCAGGGCGTCCTCGGGGTTGGGGTCGCGGGGCAGGCCCGGGTAGTGAAGTACCCGACCTGACCTGCCCCATTGCCATCTCTAGCCGTTTTCATTGTTTTGATTTTGTTGTTATTCATCTGATTCTTGATTTTGTTGTTTCTTTTGTCCAGATCTAATTCTATATACAGTTGCTGTCAAATGGCAGTGTGAGTAGGCTTGTTCTTGTTTTAATTACAGTATGTTTTTGTTTCGTGGTGATGATGGTGTTAGTGATTGTGTTCTAATTTATTAATGAGTAGGGTTGCTTCTGCGCCGGGAAAAGTTTTGATGACTGGTGGATATCTTATTCTGGAGAGGCCTAATGCAGGGATTGTACTAAGTACAAATGCCCGATTTTATGCTATTGTCAAGCCGCTTTATGAGGACCTTAAACCTGACAGTTGGGCATGGGTATGTGACACTCTGTGGTAGATCATGATAATTTGTGGTGCAATTCTATCTCCAAGTTTGATCCGTAAATGGATAATTTTGATTCACTTAATTGACACTCTTGCCATACCGCCTGTTTATTTTATTTGAGATGAGTTTCCAAGATTTTAATTGTATGTTTTATTTCTCTGTTCTCTCCAAATGGTTTGTACTATGTGGTTTATTTTCTTACCAAAAATTCGCTGTATTTTAGGCATGTTCAGATGTGAAACTGACATCTCCTCAGATGGGTAGAGAAACTATGTATAAACTGTCTCTCAAGCATCTGCAGCTACAGTGTGTATCTTCAAGGTGAAAAGCACACCATTTAAAATTTCTATGTAATGGACCCTAGTAACTGTGGCGTGTTTGCGTATGCTTATGAATTGAACTTAACTTATTGAAGAATGAACTAGTTTTTTTCACGTACTATTGTCTGAGCAAGAACCATATGGCCAATTAATGCTTACATGAGAGAATTGTTTCGCTATGCCTACTCAGTGATTCAAGAAACCCATTCGTAGAATATGCATTGCAATATGCTATAGCAGCAGCACATGCCACCTTTGACAATACTAAGAAGGAGGAGCTACATAAACTTTTGTTGCTAGGTAAAGTTGGATATGAAATTCCCCGATCTTTCTTCAAAAGCTAACTGAACTTAGAAATTCTAATGTCTGTTTTGGTCTAGTCATGCAGGTCTTGACATTACGATTTTAGGCTGCAATGAGTTCTATTCATATAGAAATCAGGTATTCAACTTCGCCATTATTCTACTAAATTTTTACCAGACAATTTGTTTAATTTGGCAATTGGGCCACGTCTCAATGATGTTTATGATCAGAAATTATTAAACCAAACATTTTCAGCATAGTGGAAGGATTTTCAAAGTTACTCATGCACATGGATATGAAACTATTTTTGTGAAAATGCTTCTTTCAGACTCATATGGGTACTCTCACGCAGATTGAAGCCCGTGGCCTGCCTCTATCTCCCGATTCACTGGCTTCTCTCCCACCTTTCACTTCGATCACCTTTAATGCAGAGGAATCTAGTGAACAAAAGAGCAAACCCGAAGTTGCCAAAACTGGATTGGGCTCGTCTGCTGCTATGGCAACTGCAGTTGTTGCTGCTTTACTTCATTACCTTGGAGTGGTCAAACTTTCCTTAGAAAATAGTTCTCTGCCAGAGGATCAAGTCTCGAAGGAACTGGATGTCGTGCATATCATAGCTCAAACTGCTCACTGTATAGCGCAGGGTAAAGTCGGTAGCGGTTTCGACGTGAGCTCTGCTGTTTACGGAAGTCAAAAGTATATCAGGTTTTCGCCTGAAGTACTTTCTTCTGCTCAGGTATTTGGCTTTCTTGTCCTGGAAATGTTGTTATGTGGGGTTCTGTATAAATGCATGTCCGTGAACACAAAAACAACAGTTTTTTATGACAAAACTTAGGCCTCTTTCTTCCTAATCACAAATTCAAAGGACCATATTTTTAGGAATTTGTTCCTTGTTTTAAATGTACAAAAGGGTGTGCATGCACTCATACGTAGTGGGGCTCATCCAAATATTTTATTAACTGGCACCACTCCATGTGAGTATACATTCACCCTTATGTACACTTTAGTTATGTGAAGTAGCAAATTTCATTTTATATGTCTATTTTTATCAGAACAGTGGAGGTTGTGCTAATGTCGGGACATGCTTGCTTTATTTTTTGTGTTCGTCTCCTGGAAAAATGATTGCTGATGATTGCAGGATGTTGCTCGAGGGCTTTCAATACAAGAGGTCATTGAAGATGTGCTAAAAGCCAACTGGGATCACAAGAGAACGAATTTTCAGTTGCCACCAATGATGATGTCACTGGTGAGTCTGATAAAGCATAACCGATTTGATGATAATCTAATGAAGTGCTTTTATCTTAGTTTCGAAATGTTTCAGTTACATCCGGTCCAATCTTCATTAACTAATGTCCTGTGCTGAGGTTCTTCGTATTTGAAATTCCAGCCAAGGGTCTCAGTAATATTTTGATATGAATCTATAAAATCATGATTTTGGGCTGTGTGCCATGAACACAGAAATGTGTGCATTGAATATATTCCTGCCTTTCTCTCCATTAGGGTACCAGACTTTCTTAAATAAGAGGGCCTTATTCAAGATCTTCTGAAACAATAAAGTCTCAAGCCTCTGTCCGATCAGACACAATCAGGTTGTAATTAATCCAGAAGTGATGAGTTTCCTTTTCTTGATAAACCGAGTAATTCTGTAATCAATATTATCCAATGTCGAGGCATATTTATCCCATTAGAACTTTCACGATCCCATTTCTGTATTATATGTTAAGAGTTTCCCGCTCCTGTTCCCATCTTAGAAAAGTGCAGAAAAGAAAGGTAAATTGGGAGAGAAAAGACAAAAAAAAAAAAGAAAAAAAAAGATTTTGAAACCTAGGATTTAGATATCTGGTGTTCACGTCTAAAACACTTTCTCTCGTACTTAGTCGAGCGTAGTGCATGTGCAGGTACATGGAGAACCTGGAACAGGGGGATCCTCAACACCATCAATGGTTGGTGCTGTTAAGAAGTGGCAAAAATCTGATCCTCAAGGCTCGTTCGAAACATGGAAGAAGTTGTCGGAAGCAAATTAAGCTCTTGAAATGCACCTCAACAACTTAAGCCAATTTTCAGAAACAAATTCTGATTCTTATAGAATAACCATTGACAAATGCAGCAAACTTACGTCTGAAAAGGTAAGCCAAAATTTGTTCCACCCATATATTCTTGTCATATGTGATTATAAGTTTTACAACTCTATCAAATGAGTTCTCTAATTACATTTTTTAACAGTGGGCAGAGGGAGCTGTGGGGCCATACCAAATAGAAGTGATTAAAGCACTCTTAGGAGCTAGAGATTCCATGTTGTCAATCCGGACTACTATGCGCAAGCTGGGCGGGACTGCCGGAATTCCCGTAAGTTCTTTTTGATTAATCTCAAAGCGTGTTTCGCACTTGATTTGTGTATATCTACGTGCGTCCAATAAACTAGTATCAGAAATAACTAATTGAAATGAGAATTTTGTAACCTCTGCATGTATTTATTCCATAAAACTACTTGTGATTCTAAATTGATGTTCTTAGGGACATGACTGATTGATATTCTCAAGCAAGAAATTTAGGGCGTGCTAGTGTACAAAATATCCGCTCAAAATGACTTTTTTTGTTAACCAGATTTAATTTTGAAAAAATATATGGTTAGTTGTTAGTGTTATTTTATACTAAAATAATACTTAAAATAAAACAATAAAAATTGATTTGATGTAAAAGTAAGAGAGGGATGATGTGAAGTGATGGTTAGTTGAAATTATGTGAGTGGATGAATAGTGAATCAAAATGGATGTGATGTATAAGAATTGCTTGTTTGGTACTATTTAATTATAATTATAATATTGAAGATAGTGAAGTTGGGGTAGAGTTAGAGTTAGATTTTGAGTATGAATTGGATAAATTTATAAACAAACACACCCTTTAAGAGGATTGATCGACTGTCTTTTTTTCTCCGTAGATGAAACCTTTTTACCTTGAGCAAAATTCTGGACTCTCCTTTGCAGTTAGCATTTGATTTCTTACAGTTCTTGTTTCTATTTTTGCTGTATTTATTAACTTTACACCGTCAACAATTTCACTGTTGTCTTATCTTTTTCAATATTTGACTCTTCAGAAAAGTGTAAGTACCGTTAATCAACTCATTCATTTTGCAATATTTTAACATAATAATTTTAATAATTTTGTATAGTTCAAGAACCAAACTACAATACCTATTTAAGCCCATTCATTATTTCCTTTTTTTTTTTGTGGTTTTTTTTTCTTGATCATGCATACCCTTTTTGCAGATAGAGCCCGAATCACAAACCAGTCTGCTAGATACCACGATGAATACAAAAGGAGTTCTATTGGCTGGTATTCCTGGTGCAGGTGGATTTGACGCGGTGTTTGCCATTACCTTGGGAGCTTCAAGCAGCAATGTCGTGAAGGTCTGGAGTTCGCTCAATGTTCTGGCCTTGCTAGTGAGAGAAAATCCACGTGGCGTTCATCTAGAGGCCAACGATCCACGAACTACCAAGATTACTGACTCGGTTTCTAACATTCATATTGGGTAAGCTCGTAGTTTATGCTGCTACTTGTGTTTTAGCAATTGAATTTGAATAAAATAATTTTATTTTTCTGACACATTCAGATAAAAAAAAAAGTTTGTGAGTGATGTTTACTAAAAGGAAACTATTTACTAAAAATAAGGAAATAAAACTGGCTTGTTGTATTTTCTTTTTGAAATGCTTTTGCAATCTAGGCATTGAATGGTGTTGGAGCTGAAAGATATTCAGGAGTTTTTGTTCATGGATCAGTATTCTTCAATTTGGTATATATGTTTTACTTGTTTTATTTACTGCTTATTTTCAAGACCTTGAATTGTACCTTGGATTTCTTGGGGTTCCTTTTTATGTTGGTACAAATTCCAAAATGGACTTGCTTTTAGAAAATAATAAGCTGATTGTTAGTCGGACCCGACGGTTGTCGATAGGCAATCTTCATATAGTTTCATGTTGAAGTGAATACCCAACGGCCAACGGTTGTTTGATAGATAATCGTACTTTTGCAACAGATTCGTATATTTTCATATTGAAATGTTTTGTTTTGAATAATAACATTGCACAAATGTGTGATTGCATTTTTTCATGTTGAAATATATATTTTTTTTTTAATTAAATAACATTAACCAAATATGACATTTATGAAATAAATTGACCTTTTATTCAAAAAAATTGTAAGTGTGCGGTCTAAAGATTGTGTAGTCTAACAAGGCTTGTATTTAAGAAACACTTTCATGAATTGGAATTTTTATCAGCTCTGATTGAAAGTCTGAAACTTGTTTGAATTATTGAGTGTCCAGCTTGGCAACTCAAAGGATGAGTCATATATGCATGTTGTATTTATATAAATCGTCATAAATATTTACCACGTAAATATATAAACATTACTTTATCTAAATTAAAAAAATATTCTTTGTATATATGTGTTCGGGTCAAACGGGATGACCAGACGGAGTCAATGTCTGGGCCTACCGGGTTGCTTTTTAACCAATCTGAAAGGCCCCCACCCGTGCCGGGTCCACCTCCGGCTAGATTCTTGCCGGTCGGTCTAAGTAAAAATACACTAATTTTCAGCAAAAAAATAGATACAAAAAATATCAATGATGCCAAAGTTTCACAGAAGGTAACACTATAAAATTATTATTTATAGATTTTGAATATGATGTGATGTGGAAAATAGCAAATTTATATATATAAGTTATATCAAATTTTATGTTATTTTGTTTGCTACTGTAACATGACCGTTTTCTATTTTCACAGTGACATAGTTTGGTAGCAGTTGTCCACCAATAATTTGGACACAAATAACCAATCCATTTATTTCAACTGCAGCTGTTTCAGTAGTTAGCAAAAGCACAAAATTGACAGGGAAAATTAGGTGAAATTTCCACCATTTATATGCCATTGGTTTCAAGAATTTTTAAATTTTGTTGGTAGTTAATATTTATCTTATTGAAATTGAAAATAAAAAGTAATTTATTTTTTTTAAATACTATTCATTTCATTTAATTTTTTTTTTTCTATAAAAATCCCTCTAACCCAATTAAGAAATATAAAATAATAATTATATACATCTTTCTAATAAAATATACTATTCCTCCATTCACACATTTCTAAATCCATCGATTTTATTATTTTTATATCAGATCAATTCTCGTTATTACATTTTTATCTTGTATATATTCACAACATCAAAATTATCTTTCTTTTTTCCTATTTTACTTTTTCGTCTCACTTTTTTCCGGATGCGAATTTTTTCCGGAGAACATCGTTGTGTTCTATTATGAAAAAATAAATAAATAAATAAATAAAATAAGATTCTCATGTTAAATGTAGAATGAGATGCTGAGAGCATGATTGGATACAAAATTTTTCAAAAAAATCTAAACATTTTTAACTCAACCATTTTTTTAACTCAACTCTACTATCATCAATATTATCAATATAATTATCAATCAATCATTCATAGACAGCATATCAACCTTCAATCACTATTCATCTACTCACATTATTTTAACTAACCATCACTTCAAGTTTTCTATTTTACATCAAATCAACTTTAATTATTTTATTTTAAATAATATTTTAATATACCCACTAACAGCTAATCATACTAACTTTTTCAAAAATAACCAAACCAAACAAAAAAATCAAAACAAAACTAAAATTTTTTATATCCAATGAGACTGTTTCATTCTATATACCAATAAATTGTGCTAATCCAATTCATTTTTCAACTCTCAATTTTTTTTTTATAAACACCCGTGGATGAAAGAACAAAAAAGATATTATGGGCGTGATAAGCCTTTAAATCAATGGCAATAATTGCTTTTTATAAAGGTTGTCTATTGTATAAGGTGAGGCTTTAATTATGTGATTCTAAACATGTTTTCCCCACATAACTTTTTATCTAACTTTTTTCCTTTGACATTGGAGCATAAATTTACTATTAATCCACTCATATAATTTTAACTAACCATCACTTTCAATCATTTTCTTATACTTTTACATCAAATCAACTTTAATTATTTTAATTTAAATATTATTTTAATATTCCACTAACAACTAACCATACTACTTTTTCTAAAATTTAACTATACTTAAAAAAAAACTAGTTTTTTTTCTAGTTGAATTCATATCCGATCACCCCCTTAGTGATTGGTTGACAAGTATTTTGTTTTTTTCTTAAAAAAAAATAAAAACCATTGTTTATAGTTTTGCTATGG